TTTATTTTTAAAGATTTTATTTATTTATTTGAGAGAGAGAGGGAAAGCATGAGCATGGGCATGGGCAGAGGGAGAGGGAAAAGCAGACTCCCCGCTGAGCTGGGAGCTCGAGGGGAGGCTCAATCCCAGGACCCCAGGACCCCAGGATCATGACCTGAGCCAAAGGCAGCAGCTTAACGGACTGAGCCACCCAGGCGCCCGGACAGGTGCAGTTTCAAACAAGTGCTCGCTTTCCTGGATCGGGATGGGAGAGGACTGCAGGAACGGTACTGAGAAAGCCACAGCGACCATGGAGTCCTGGGGTGCAGGGGTCTTCTTGAGAGCTGAGGGGTGGAGGCTGAGACTAAGGCGCACCCTGCACGTGGATTTTGAAGTGGCAGCACAGAGTGAGGGGACCATGGTGTGGAGAGGAAAATGCTAAGCCAGATGCCAAAGTCCTTGATGAAAGTGGACAAGTGACAAACTGGCTGGAAGAGGGGTAGAGGAGGGGAGAGCTGGATGGCAAAGGTTTCAGCGGAAGCAAGGTTTACTGGAGGAGAAATGGGCAGAAATTCCAACAGTGGAGCCGGGAGCCTGCCTCCGCTCCAAGCCCAGGTAGTATGAGAACCTGAGTTCTTTCCTGAGCTCGAGACCCCATAGGAGACCCGGCCTCTCAAGGGACAGCTTGGGTTTCCGCCAAGGCAAAAGGTGGAGGGGTATTCAATGAGGCTGTGGAGGAGGGAGGAGTCTGCCTTGGAGAGGGCACAAGTGAAGCCTATTGGCAGGGAGGTCATGTGGGGGCAGCCTGTGGCGGGATGAGATGGAAGAACAGGGGGAGCTCAGGGTACAACAGGCTCAGTTAGGTGGTGACTATGGAAGAAGACAGGGTGAGGTCTCCAAGACAAGGGACCCCGCGATCATATCAGTAACCATAGTGTAAGATGTCTCCGTGAGGCGCAGCTGGAGGACAGGGGAGATGGAGGGCCACCTCTGCCCACTTAGTCCTTTGGAAGAAAAGCGTTTCCATGCGTGGGGCAGAGCACAGGCCTGTGTGCATATGTGTGTGTGTGTGTGTGTGTGCACGGGCAGTCGATAGATTGGTGAGTTTGGCCTGGGCCAGGAAAGACCTAAGGGATGGTGGGCAGGACACCACCTATCGGAAACTAAGGCTTTAAGCAGAAGGAGGCGGCCTTAGTGACAGCCCGGGTGGTGACTGGATGGATGGTGATGGCAGGGGTCAGGGAGAGACTTAGGAGCCCCTCACCGTCCAGGGCCCAGGGCGACCCCCCCCTTTCCTCCAGGCGCCCAGAAGTCCCTCTCCCCTTCGGCGCCCCAATCCCACCTCTTCCCGTTCAGGCAAACCAGCCTTCGGAAAAGGATGGCTGGCTCAGCCGGGATGGCCGCTCTGGCTCAGGACGTCCGGGGGGCGCTCTCGAGCCAAAAACTGGACCACGTGTGGATGGACACGCACTACGTGGGGCTGCAGTTTCCGGACCCGTGAGTGCGCGGGGGGCGCGCGGGGGGCGCGCGGGGGGCGCGCGGGGGGCGCTCACCACCTCTGCTCCTCAGGGCTCATCCCAATACCCTGCACTGGGTCGGTGAGGCTGGGAAGCTCGGGGAGCCCCTGCCGCTGGAGGACCACGACGTCTACTGTCCCTACAGTGCCACGGGCAACGCCACGGTGAGCGTCCCCTGTCCCGCCCCCAGGACAGGGGCAGCGAGCGCCCTTTCCCGGGTGGCGGAGGAGGGACCCGGAGAGCACGCCTCACCGTCCTCCCCATCCCCAGGGAGAGCTGGTGTACGCCCACTACGGGCGGCCGGAGGACCTGCAGGACCTGCGGGCCCGGGGCGTGGAGCCGGCGGGGCGCCTCCTGCTGGTGCGCTTGGGGGAGATCAGCTTCGCCCAAAAGGTGAGGGTCCCTGGATGGGGGGGTGGCGTGGAACCGGGAGGGTGCGGGGCCGGGGAACGCGAAGATAGGATAGCGGCAGATGGGAAGCGTCTAGGAGGCTGTCGGAGAGAGAAAAGAAAGAACCAAGCGGGTCGTAAGAAAATGCTGGCGGGAAACAAAATCGGGAGGTTGGCGTGGGGGACGAACACGGAGGAATGCAGAGGCCAGTGGGGTTTGAGGGATGCCAAGGCACTGGGGGAAGGCGGGAAGATGCGGGTCAGGTGGTGCCCACATCCTCGCTGTGGCTCCATGAAAGCGGAGCGGAAGCAGTGCGACTTCACTTTTCCTTGCTTCTCCTGCCCTTACAAATCGGTTTTCTCTGGGAGAAGGAGTCCGTTAGCCACTTCCCTTCCCCAGGTGGCCAGTGCCCAGGACTTTGGGGCCCGAGGAGTGCTCATATACCCTGATCCAGCAGACTTCTCCCAGGATCCACACAAGCTCGGCCTGTCCAGCCACAGAGCTGTGTATGGACATGTGAGTCTGGGGGCAGCCAGCAGTAGATTCTTGGGGTCCCCAGAACTGGACCTCCTTGTCTGGGATGGGGCCGGTAGGCTAGTCTTCGGAGCCCAGCTCACAGCTTCGGTGTGGACACCCGTTTCCTCACAGGTGCACCTGGGAACTGGGGACCCCTACACGCCTGGCTTCCCTTCCTTTAATCAAACCCAGTTCCCTCCAGTCCAGTCCTCCGGCCTCCCTAACATCCCCGCCCAGCCCATCAGTGCGGACATTGCCTCCCTCCTGCTGAGGTGAGGGGCCTGTGGGGGCCAGGAGGGGAGGAGGAAGGGAGGTGTAGCTAGCCTGTAAAGTGCTTTTGGGTGCACTAGAAAAAGATGGATCTTCTGAGTGGGCCCAGCCTCACTTTGAGCACGACACAACCTGCGCAACTGTCCAAGGCAGCAGGCAGAGTGCAGAAGTAGAGCTGGAGCCAGAAGGTGGGAGGGAAAGAGCAAAGAGGGATCTCTGGGCTCTTCTATAGCCTGGGCCTCTGTGCCACTTCCGACCCTTTCTGCCCCACCTCTCTCCAGGAAGCTCCAAGGCCCTGTGGCTCCCCAGGAATGGCAGGGGCGCCTCCCAGGCTCCCCTTATCGCCTGGGCCCTGGGCCAGGCTTGCACCTCGGGGTCAACAACCACAGGGTCTCCACCCCCATCAGCAACATCTTTGGCTGCATCGAGGGCCGCTCAGAGCCAGGTGTGCCAGCTTGCCCAGCGTCACCCGCAGCCGGCAGGAGGGGAGCTGCCACTCATGAACCCTGGCTAGAGATGGGGCTGGAGCAGGAGGCCCAGGGGAGTGGGCAAGAGTGGTGCCCAGTGGAGGGGGTGGCAGGGCTGAGCAAGGAGGGAGGCTGGCAAGTTGAGGCTGATCTGGGACTGAGAGGGGATGGCAGTGAGTAGATCCCATGGTCAAATCTGTCCAGAGACAGGATGGGTAGTTTGGCACAGTAGTGAGTTCCCTAGCAATGGAGGTGAGCAAGCATGAGTTGGGTGATATAGCATGAACGGGAGTTCTGATGAGATAGATGAACCTTTCAAGCCTAAGTAGACACGGATAGCAGTGGGCAATCAAAGTGGGTTCTTGAGCCGAAGAGTGTGGTACCTACAAGCCCTGAGGGAGAGATGCAGGGGGGCCGTGATGCAGCTCAGAGGAGAATGCTGGAGAAGGGGTGGGGGTGGATTAGAGAGAAGCATGAAGGAGGAAAGCCTGTCAGGACTTGTGAGGGACATGGCTGACCAGGGAGGTGATGGAATCCAGCATGAGGCCAGGCACCCCGCTGAAGGAGCAGGCCATCCAGGCAGGGCCGAGGGGAAGAGGGGCACTCTCCTGAAGGACAGCAAGGATCGCAGGGCTGGGGCTGCAGAGATGTGAGGAGCTGGAAGGTGGAGAGTGGTGGGGGCGGGGCTGGGAAATGGAGGCAAGGCCCCTCGAGCACGCAGCCTCCCAGGTAGTCTCTGGGTATTGCCAGTGTATGAACATGGACCCCAAGAGCCTCCCCTCCCGCAGATCACTATGTTGTCATCGGGGCCCAGAGGGATGCGTGGGGCCCAGGAGCGGCCAAGTCCGCTGTGGGGACGGCCATACTGCTGGAGCTGGCGCGGACCTTTTCCTCCATGGTGAGCAATGGTAAGGTCAGGGCCTGGGCCGGGCAGCTGGGGCTGTGGCCCGAGGCAGCACAGGGCAGAGAGGCAGTCAAAAGCACAGGCTAGAGGGCGGCCACGCAGACCTGGGCTCCAAACCTGGCTTCCTCACGTCCCAGCCACATGGCCCCGGGCAGGTCGCTTTACCTCTGTTTCCTCATCCAAATATGAGAGTAGAGTTGGCCCTCGAGCAGCGCCAGGGTTAGGGGAGCCGACTTCTCCGCTCGGTTGAAAATCTGCATGTAAGTGGACCCAAGCAGTTCAAACTCATGTTCAGGGGTCAGCTGCAGTCATAGTCCTTGGTCTGAGTGAAGCATTAAGCAGGAGACTCCATGTGAAAGCAAGCTCCACACTGTGATAGTGGAGTTGGGGCAGACCGGCTGAGGCGGGCTGGGCAGGGGGCTTGGCGGGAAGGATGGAGGGAGCCCAGGGCCGCAGGACAGGAGAAGACAAAGATGGGTCTTTGCTTGGCCTCCAGAGGGGCCCGTCCTCCTGACCCGCTCTGCTTCCAGGCTTCCAGCCCCGAAGGAGTCTTCTCTTCATCAGCTGGGACGGAGGTGACTTTGGGAGTGTGGGCTCCACAGAGTGGCTGGAGGTAATGTGGGGTCCAGGGCAGGGAGTCAGGCAGTGGGAAGGGGTGGGGGGTTAAACTCCACGCCCCTCACCCCCAGGGTTACCTCAGCGTGCTGCACCTCAAAGCCGTGGTCTACGTGAGCCTGGACAATGCAGTGCTGGGTGAGTGGGGGCGGGGCCACCCACTGCGGCCTCTCTGGTGCACCTGGCCGCGGGGCCCAGCCTTGAGTCTGGCATCCCTTCTCCTCCCCCTCTGCAGGAGACGACAAGTTCCATGCCAAGACCAGCCCCCTTCTGATCAGCCTCATAGAGAACATCCTGAAGCAGGCAAGAGGCTGGCCAGGAGCCGGGGATGAAGGGAAGCTGGTGGCGGCCAGAGCCTGACCGGTGCCCCCTACCCTGCCCCCCAGGTGGACTCTCCTAACCGCAGTGGGCAGACCCTCTATGAGCAGGTGGTGTTCAACAATCACAGCTGGGATGCCGAAGTGTAAGTTGGGGCCAGGAGGGAGGGAGGGAGGGAGGACAGCTGTGGGGGGAGCCGAACCCACAGAGCCCTCCCACCTGCCCACTCCCAGGATCCGGCCACTGGCCATGGACAGCAGTGCCTACTCCTTCACGGCCTTTGCGGGGGTCCCTGCCGTTGAGTTCTCCTTCTTGGAGGTGAGACTTCCTGGCCCTGCCCCAGAGCAGCAGCCCCTCTGCCTGTCTGCACTGTGCCCCTGCGCCAGCCCACGCCCTGTCCCGGCAGGATGGCCAGGCGTACCCGTTCCTGCACACGAAGGACGACACATACGAGAACCTACACAGGGTGCTGCGGGGCCGCCTGCCCGCCGTGGCCCAGGCTGTGGCCCAGCTCGCTGGGCAGCTCCTCATCCGGCTCAGCCACGATCACCTGCTGCCTCTGGACTTCGGCCGCTATGGGGACGTGGTCCTCAGGCACATCGGCAGCCTCAACGAGTTCTCTGGGGACCTGAAGGTCCAAGATACCAACCCTGCTCCTGGCTCCTGGGGGTGGGGGGAGCTATATCCCCTCAAAGTGTTGCCCAGTCCAGAGGTCTGGCCCCTCCTCCCCACAGTCCTTAGGGTCTAGTCCCCTCTGGCAACCTGGCCCCTCGACTCCTGCCTTAGGACCCAGCTGGTACCCTCCCAACCGCCCAGGTCTTCTCCCCTCTCCCAGCATCCCGTCCCCTTATAAGCCCCTCCTCCTGGCAGCCCTGGGGTCCCAGCCTAGGCCGGGGTCCTGGCCCCTGTGTCCGGCCCCAGCCTGCATTTCCACCCCCAGGCCCGCGGGCTGACCCTCCAGTGGGTGTACTCGGCGCGGGGGGACTATATCCGGGCGGCGGAGAAGCTGCGAAAGGAGATCTACAGCTCGGAGGAGAGCGATGAGAGGCTGATGCGCATGTACAACGTGCGCATCATGCGGGTGAGGCCCCGCCCCCGCCCCGCCCCCCGCGCCCCCTACCCCGCGTCTCCCGGTGGCTGGAGCCGACAGGCCTGTCCTGCGCGCTGTCCCCGGTCTCCGCCTTTACTTCGTCCCTGTCCTCCGGCTCCCAGTCCTGGGCTCAGCGCTCACACACCGGCCAGGCTGGAGCGACCACTGAGACAGGCCCCGCAAAGTGATAAAACTGACAGGGAGGGCTGGCTGCTGGGCCGTCCGTTTGGCAGACCACGTGGCAGAACTGGGAACCCCCCCCCCCGCCCTCCAAACACACACACAGCCCTCCACTGCCTACTCACCCATCTGGAGGGAAAAAGCATGTACACGATTGTCCACAGTACAAGAGGCCCAAGCTTATGGCCCAGGAGGGGCAAAGGCTTAAGAAATTCAGAGCAAGGAGAGCTCTCTTCCTTGTGGTAATAAGGTGGGTGAAACCCAGAGAAGCTGCCTGGGGGAGGTGTCACATAAAGTTATACAAGACCTTAGTCCTTGGCCCATTCCTCCTTAGTTGTGAATACTTTGCAACCCACACTCCATCTCCTGTTCCAACCCCTCCACTTCCTTCCATTTCTTTACTCCAAGAACTCAACCTGGCCACTGATTTTGGGAAATGGGATAAGTAGGGACTGTGGGCGTGGGGATAAGTCTACAGGGCGAAATTAGAAATAGGATCATCCTCTGTGAGTGTAGGGTGGACAGGGAACCCATAGTGTATGCACGACCATGGTTTTGGAACATGTCTGCCCCCTTTTTTTTCCTCTTTGAGTCCCTGCCTCTTTCCCTTGGCATCACTCATTCCTTCTTTCTGTTCACAAACCCACCCCTCTTGCTCTTTCATCCTTGCTCCTTTCTCCTGATCCCCCTCATTCTCCTCTCTCTGCAGTTTCCTCTTCCTCCCCCACTTCCTGATCTCTCCACCTCTCCTTCCCTTTGTCCCCTCCACTGAGACATCAGTGATCCTGCAGGTGAGACAAGAGGTTGGGCCTGGTTCATTCTCATTCACAGATCTTGCTTTAACCCCTGCTGTCCCAGACTCCAGGAACACAAAAATATACTCCCCTCACCCAACCCCCTAAGTTGCCACATGCCTCCCTCCCCCCCCTCGCCCCCAGGGAATAAAGGGCATCTGTGCATAAGGGGCATGATTCAGACTCAGGGCTGGAGAGTAAAAGATTCCAGACTTCAGAACCAGCCGCACAGAGCTGGGCCAGACCCAGGGAACTTTGTGGCTCTAGACCAGGGGTTGGTAAACGATTGCCAGTGGGCCAAACTTGGCCTGCTGCCTGTTTCTGCGAATGAAGTTTTATGGAAACACAGCCATGCTCATTGATTTTCATATTGTCTATGGCTGCTTTTGGGCCAGCTACGGCGGCCAAGTTGTGTTTGCAACAGAAACAATATGGCCCACAAAGACAAAAATATTTACTACTTGGCTTTTTGCAGAAAAAGTTTGCTAACCCCAGCTTTAGACTATGATGTTGGTCTTGAAGAATGGACAGAACTTGGGTTGGTGCAAAGAAAAGACATTTCAGAGTGGAGAGACCCAGAGTAAGGGTGTGGTGGGGAAGTAGGCCTGGCTGTCCTTGGGAGTAGGGTGTGGACCAGCAGAGCCAGAGTAGAAGCCTGGGGAGAAGCAGAGGGGAGAGGGGCACCAAACAGTGGGCTAGAGATCACCTATGGGGAGCCCTGAATGCCAGGATGAGAAGTTTGGATTTTTAGAGTCCGGGCATCAAGGAAATTAGGAAGGTGGTTGAGCAGGGTGGTGATGTGAGCGAAGTGGAGTTTTAGGAAGGATTTGGCCAGACTGTAAATGGTGAAGAGGGAATTGAAGTTAGCGAAGACTGAGCTCTGGATGAGAGTGTCAGGTGGTAGTAGAGGCCACCTGTGGGTGAGGGGACTGGAATGAAGGAAAATGGACAGACAGGGTGTTGAGGGAAGAGGAGGAGAAAAACCATAGCAGCTGCCATTTACCAAGGGCTGTGTGTGAGGCTGGTAAGGTGCCCTCTTACCCAGTGGGGAGGTCAGAAGGGTGGAGGGCAGGATTCCAGTGGATGATTTGTCAAGTAGGCTTGGCAGTTATCCCCATGAGGTCCTGACTGCAGCCAGGGACATGGATGAGCCCTTGGAGTGAAAGATGGAGAGATTCCGATGTTGCTGGGGAGGCACCCACACAACGGTCATTAAAAAGTTCCCCAAGTGATTCTAATACGCAGCCAGGCTTGAAAACAACTGGAGTGTAGGTGAGGAGAACAGAGGGTGGAAGTTGAGCCTTGGGCCTGCCCAAAGGTGGGAGCAGAAGGAACCACAGAGGGTGGAAGAAAGGTGGGAGAATCGGGCTAGTAGAGTTGCCATCTCAGGAAAGATGAACAGCATCCGAGTTATGCAGGGAGGACAGAGAGTCAGGCACTTCATTAGGACTGACCGGTCCCTTTGACCTTTGACTCTGGGCTGTGGACATTGGTGGTGGTGAGGGGGAATGCGTGGGGTGTAGGAAAGTGAGGAACAGCAGGACCATAGACTGTCCTTTGAGGCTTCAGCCGGTTAAGTGACTAGGCGAAGAGGGAAGACTGGGGAGACGTGGTTGCAGGCTTGGAGGCTCAAAGCTTAGAAAGAACGGGATAGAACCCAAAACACAGCAGGAGGACGCATCCTACCCAGCTGCTGGTGACGTCAAAGAATAGCCGCTCCCGATTGGGTAGCCGAAGGGAGGTGGGGCTTAAGGCAGCGGCTCTGCAATGGACGCTAGGCGCAGACTAGGTAAGGAATTGCTGTTCCGGCCCGCGCTCCCGGCAGAGCCCCGCACCCCGACCTGATTCCCTTCTTGGTGCAGGTGGAGTTCTACTTCCTGTCCCAGTACGTGTCGCCGGCCGACTCCCCGTTCCGCCACATTTTCCTGGGCCGCGGAGACCACACGCTGGGCGCGCTGCTCGACCACGTGCGGCTGCTGCGCTCGGGCGGCTCCGAAGACCCGGGGGCCGCCTCCTCCGGGGTGGCTCCGGGCCTGGGCTTCCAGGAGAGCCGCTTCCGACGCCAGCTGGCCCTTCTCACCTGGACGCTGCAGGGGGCCGCCAACGCACTTAGCGGGGATGTCTGGAACATCGATAACAACTTCTGAGGTCCGCGGGGCGGGGGGCGGGGTGGGGGGGCGTTGGCATATGCCCGGAGCTCCTGCTCTCCCGTTAGAGTGATTTCTGGGTGATGCAGGTGCCTAGTACCAACCTGTCGTTGCTGACCGATCTCTCATAAGCCCTTCCCGTCTCTGCAAGGGGCCCAGCCAAGATGCCAGCGCAGACACCCACACCCGGGCTCTGCAGTGTAGGAGTAGGTGAGCGGTGCCTTCCACAATGGGCCCGCCAGACTGTCAGCCAGTCTGAGAGCACCCGCTTCCTCATCACACAGCCCCTTCGCCTTCGGGAAGGGGGTCCCCCACACCTAGTGATGTCTCTGGAAGGTTTCCTTGGCCCTGGGACGTGGCCAGCCCCCTTGGTGGGAGAATGGCTGGAACCACAGCCTATAGCCCCAACAGGTGGTCTGTGGCGGGAGGGGCTGGGGTTTGGACCTTAATAAACCACCTGGTGGCATCTGTTGTTTATAAACACCTTTATGCTTTTTCCTTACCCTCACTCCACCCAGTCATTCCTCCCTTGAGACGGGCAAAGGGCCAGAGAAGATACAAGTAGGAATGCTGTCTCTCCACATCTGAGGAGGCTGCAGCCCTGGCTCTCACTCCCAGGGCAACTGCATAAATCCTAGGGCTGGGCTTTGGGCTACTCAGTCCTCTTTTGCTCCCAATATGGCATGACAGGTCCTACCCTGGTTCCAGGATGAAACTCTGCCTCTCCCCCTGCCCCCTCCTTGAGCCCCCTCTGAGCCTGACTGGGTTCTCAGGAGCCTGGACCAGGGTCAGAAACCTCCTCAACTATTTGCTTCTCTGACATACTGTTCAGAACAAATTTCCCAAAGTGGTTTCCCAAAATGGTTTCTCAGCCCTTCACTTTGTCCATTTGCTCCTTGTAGCACACAGACTAATGGTCTGGAAAAAGATGTTCACGTCCTAATCCCCGAAACCTGTGAGTGAATGTTACCTTACACAACAAAAAGGACTTTGTGGATGTGATTAAATTGAGGATCTTGAGATGGGGAGTGTTTTGAGCTGAAATATACCGCCCCCCCCCCAAATCCATATGTTGAAGCCTGACCCTCAGTACCTCAGTCTGTATCTGGAGATCAGGCCTTAAGTTCAGATGAGGCCATTAGGGTGAGCCTAATCCAATCTGATTAGTGTCCTTCTAAGAAAAATTGACACAAGGGAGTCTGGATGGCTCAGTCAGTTAGATGTCGGACTCTTGACCTCAGCCCAGGTCTTGATCACAGGAT